CCGGGAGAGGTGAAGCCCTGGGAGGGACGGGTTCAGCCGCTGCTGCCCCGGGACGGGACTGCCAGGAGCCCAGCCCTTATCCAGGCAGGATTTGCTCTCAGGCTGGGATTTTTCGAAGGCAGGGATTTTCAGCAGTGCACACACAATGGAGTCCTCGCCTTGGATCCTGGGGCTGCTCGGTTTTATCCAACCAACTGAACCTCTCTGAGCTCGTGGCAGGGGTGGTAGGAGGTCATGGGGAAACTCCTAGTGCCCCTGGAAAGCCATGCAAGCTGGCCTCAGGAAAGGGAATTGCTAGAGAGCGTCCCAAAGGAAAAGGGGAGAGGGGCTGTGCATCACAAAATGCCAAGCTCTACTTTGCAATCACACCGAGGTGATGCTTCTTGCTGCAAGGCAAAGGGAAGGTGCCAGAGCTCAGTGCTGAAGAAACCTGGCACAGGTGGGGCGATCTGGCCCGGTTGTACAGGGTGAGTTCAGGGCTTTGGGCTCCTCTCTGGCCTGATGCAGGGAAGTGAGGGAGAGGATGTCACCCGTTTCGAGTTTCAGAGGCCTTTGACAGCCTCTTTCCTGTCTTCAGTTTGTCCTTGTATAGAGAACAAAGGCAGGTCCTAGCAGAGGATGACCTGGCTGAGATGAGTGATGTGCACACAGGGGGACAGAGGCAGGAACTTGTGTGCGGCTGCCAGCTACATGGGCTCCTGGAATACTTTCCGCAGCCCCCGGTAGCTGCTGCAATGCCCCTTTGCAGGAATGCCAACACAATACACTGTATCTTCTTTCACGCCACTAAAGCCCTCTTCATCCCGGTAAAACCCTCGGTGCCTTCACAGCACTGGCCAACAATAAAGCAAAGGAAAGCAGCTGTACTGAGATTTTAGTCCCAGTTCTACTGTATGCCCTTCTCTGGCTTTAGAAAAAGGCTCTGTGCTTCAGCTTCCCCACCTGAGAAATGGGTGAAGGACAAAGAGAAGGGGAGTGCTCATGAGCACGGCATTCAGGACATCATGGGAAGGCAGCACCACGCTGGACCTGCTCAGGTCAAGTGCTGGAGACCTAGTCCTGCCCTCAGTGACCCCCAGAGGAGGGCAGCTGCCCTTCCTCACAATTCCCAGGGCCTGGCCCCTACCTTGTTGTGCTTCTTACTGGCATTCAAATGTGGCTGCGGGCTTCCTGAGGAGCCAGTGCTGCTTTGCGGTGGGAAGGTGCTTCCACCCAGCTGGGGCTGCAGGGGAGAAAGCAGGAGCTGAAGCCATTGGGGTTTAGTCCTCACCTCAGTTTCCCATATCCGAGCATCTGTCTCCTGGCGTGAGGCAGGGAAGAAAGCATCTTCCCTCCTCCCAGTGCCAGGAAGGCAGTACAGTTTCCCTGGAGAAGCAGAGGATCTGAGGGAATCAGGGTGCACAGAATTGCAACTCAGTGGACCCACCTACCCTGTGCTTGCCAGTTTTAGGCCTTGCAGGGTCCCCATCACCTCTGGCCCCTGTCCTACTCACATGGTAAATGAGAAGACTCTTGTTCCCCCAGTCAGTTTCCAATGGCTTCTCAGGGCTGTGTGCATCTCGTGCGGGCTCGGGACCCTTCCAGTCCTCCTCCAGATCCTGTGTTGGACTCTCAGGCCTTCTCCAGCTGTCATCCGGCCGTAGTCCTCCTTCCAGAAATCTAGCAGGGCTTTTCCAGTCCCTTTCCAGCTGGCGCATCACATTTGCATGGCACACGGGCATTGCTTGGCGCTTCCAGTCCTTCTCCCACACCTGTGCTCGGTGGGCATCGCCCCGGCCCCTCCAGTCCTGCTCCAGGAGTCGTGTTGGGCTTGTGGGGCGCAGGGGCTTGCCTCGGCCTTTGCAGTCACTGCTGGTGCCCTTTGAGGGCTGCGAGGAGGTCACCTTTTCCCGGAGGCTCTGCCAGCTGCATTCCGATGGCTTCCTGGGCCCTGCGAGGTGCAGCAGCTCCCCAGGCTTTGCTTGCTGCCTCTCTGCACCCCGCACCAAGCTGGGAGGGGAGATCTCCTTTTGGCTTTTCCTTGTGCTCTCTGTGCGTCTCCCGGGACTGAGGGCCCGTGGGGGTGGCCCTGCCCGGCTCAGCCTGACGTTGTCTGAGCCCTTCCCAGCCCCTGTGGGGTGCAGGGAATCCCCCCGGCTCTTCTTCTCCAGTGCTTGCCGTATACCCCCTGCTTGCCAGGTGCCTCGGCCCCTCTCTGAGCCTGGGGGGCGGGCAGGCTCCCCTCGGCTTCTCCAGCTTTTCTCAGCGTGGCAGGGAGGGTTCCCGGGCT